GCTGTCGTCCGTTTCTCTAAATGTAAGACCTGGACTTCATTTACAGTAGGATCGACGTCTGTCTGGTGAGTTCAGTGTCTATAATATGTGTATAACTCAATGACTGTGTTGCGATAGAAGTCAGGGCTGACAGTATTTCATAAAAGTTGTGTTTACGTATTTCTAATCCTAAGTCTGTTCAGAGCGTTTTAGTGTACGCACTAACGCAGTACGCAGAGTAGGCTCAACCACAGTTCTCAACAACCGGTTGTTGAGTAACTGTGGTTTAGCAAAACTATGTTAGTCAACTGATAGTGTTGTACTTCGCGTGTCAACAATACTGCTGGAATGCGTTGTGTTATACTACACACTATGGTACAGCTGTAATAAACAACGTTAAAATACGTAAATTAAAAAAAAAAATGAAAGACAGTGTTTTGTTACGATTTGTATAGACTCCCCTGACTGTTACACTAAGTCTAGTCACCGTCCCTCAACACAGTGTTGAGGGACTGTGGTCTAGTCTATAGAACGACAACACCGAGTAATGTGTTATGTGTGGATTACAGTGTGTATTTGCTTCAGATTACAGTGACCCCGGGATACTGTAAAATAATTTATTTTAGCTGGAATTAATTTTCGCTGAAAAGACTTTTTCGGTGTTTTCTGTGGAATTTATTTTCACTGATTTTTGATGAGTTGAATGTAAAATAGAAGAAAAAATGTATATTCGCTGGATTTTATTTTCACTGAATCATTCCTTCAGCGAAAATAGCAAAAATTATTCCAAGCGAAAATAAAGTATTCTACAGTAATCAGTTTTGTACAATTCAGAGAGCCATGTTCTAACTTGTGGAAATCATAGAATTTCACATTTTTAGGAGATATTTCTCACACTTTTTTCTCAATCTTATAAAAGCTGTAGAAATAAATCTCTGAATGTAAGAGTGCAAATAGCGCTTTGGGTGAGGTAGAATTATGTGTGAATTTCTTACTCACATTACGTCATTTGATATTGATCATAGTATATATTCTGTAAGTATTATCAAATCTATATATATAATATCAAATCAGAGGATGTCTTACAAAAGTAGTTTTTGTATGATGTACATGTGTGAAAGATTCACTCCCACTTACATCCCCAGGGCCAGGTATGTGATTGCGCAGCTCATATGTGAAGGAGTCTGTGAACTTACCAGAATTTTAAAATTAAAAAGGTAATATTTATGGTGTTGATTACAAGGTAATTCATCATATTTATACATAAACAAAAACATTATTACACACAATTTTTTGGTGATAAAATGGACAAAGTGCATGCAACTTAAATGACTTGAGTGAATTATTTATTAAGTGCTGTGTATTTACATGGTTCATTCCCAGGGGTCCATACTTTCAAAGAACAAATACTATTTTTCAATAAATCACAGTCTGCGCATTCTAAATTATCACTCACAATTATTAGGGTAAAGGTAAAGCATTGACTTTATAAAGTATGGACCATTTCAATCTATCTCTTATTTCCTACTCAGGTGATACATTAAAGTCATGGCATCCACTGGAAAAAAATCACCATCTGTCAGTTGGCTTGATATGATTGATGAAAATAAAAGAGAAACACAACTGACACCAGAAGAGGAAGCCCAGCTGATAGCTGATTATACTAAGGAAAAAGTAGAAAAGGGATTTAGATTTCTGAAACCAAGTTCCAGATGTTCGCATACACATCACAGTGGTGATGGTGGAGAATCAATAAAGACATCACCAAAGAGAATACGAAGACTTGTAAGAAAAGAACAAACTAACACCTTAGATGAACCAGTCAAACCTCCTTTGATTAATATTGAATGTGCGAGTCCTAGAGAAGAAAAGAAGGAAGATAAAATATTGGTCACACCAAAATCAATATCAACCCATGTCAGACCATGGAGTAGTGGTGGGGAAAGGAGAAGAACAGACAAAAAGAAATCACCGAAACAACGACCAAAGTCGGCTCACCCAGCAAGGGGTGATGAACTAGTTAGACCATGGTCTGTGACTGAACTTGTTGATGATAAAGCTTTAGTTTTGAAAGGGGAGACTCAAGTTGATGAAACTATAAGTCAAACAATAGGTATGTGTTACTTGCTGTTTGGTCTTAGTCAGTTAAATCAAACGGCACATATAGTACTAAATTAAACTAAGTAAACCTAATTATTAACTAAAACCACATACAAATCCTGATGCTGGTTGATAGAATAATTGTATGCCGACAAATTGAAATAAAATGAGCTTGAATAAGTAGAATAATTTTACTCTGCACAATGTACTCAATGTAATGTCTAGTTCATTTGAATGGTACCTATACATGCTATCTGCATATGCTAGATTCTTTTTTATTTAATCCAATATTTGTTACATTGATTATAATAATCAGTAAAGGTTGTTTGTTGACATTTTCTAGTAGAGTTATACACTGCTCCTATTTGCTTTGTTTTAACAGTACAAGATGATGAATATGTTCCTTCATCTGAGGCTAAATGGGTGTGGTCTCCTGACACCCCATCAGATTTACAAGATGAAGAGTCTAATTCAGAAGAAACATCACCTGCAAGAAAAGTACAATCATTTCAGGAGTGGCTAGAGGGCCCATCTGTTAATGATGAAGATTATGATACAGATTTGGAAGATGATTTTCCAAAACGTAAATATATTTTGATTTATTTCGGAATAATCTTCTACAACTACTATATTTACAACTATACTAAGGTGTTCAGTATAGACACCACACCAACACCACCAATAGGTGATTTTCCGTACAATTGCGAGATCTCGCGAGATGCATGAAAGACGCGCGTCGAACGTCTGCCGCAAAAATCGAACGATTTGATTTTGAACTAGAATTTCTTTATTTCGTAGCTTACATTGACCGGCCGATCTTCGACAGAGGAATATTGCTTCCGAATACCCTTACTTAATCGAAATTGCCTATCATCAAATGTGGACAGCACATTATTAAGCATGGAAATGTCCCCGAAATACTTTCGCGCTTGTCGAATCCCACGCGATGTTTGACGCGACTATGACGCTATGACCTTTGTTTGTCCTGTTTTTACGTTCGATTTTATGCATAACGCGTAATTCTCGCAGTGAACGGAAAATGGTCTATTGTTTTGGGTTATAAAATTGTTTTTGACTGATTCCAACCATGTTGTAACATGCCCTTTTTGCTGACATTTGATCTGTATATTCAAACCTATTATAATGGCTTTGTTGAGTGTCCTACCCACTTGTGTGGATATTCTTAGCTATTGAAAGCCCCTGACAGAGCCTCTATTTGCTTAGAAACAAAACAGGTATTGCATGTGTGTACTTTGAAAGTTGTGCATGTAGTGCTGTAATTGACATGAAACAAATATGAAATCTGGGATTCTGAATAGTTGCTAAAAAATGACTTATGTGGTGTCACAGTGGAGGAAACTATATCTTTCATCTAGTACGTACATCAAATGTCAGGTCTCATAACAGTGTGCAAATATAGTGCTTTCCAGAATTTTAGTGACCAATGCCTGAATATGAATTTAGAAATTTGTTTTAACACATAGACTAAGTCACTGCAGCTTGGGGTGCATTTAGGTAATGAAGGTTTACTAAAGTCATGTAGCCATGCCTCAAGTCAAGTAAACATGCACAAGTGAAACATTTTTACATTGACATGATTAGCCTGGCCAGCTGACTTCTAGCAGAGGGCAATAACTATCAACAATAAATTATAGCTAACTACTGGCAGAATGCAGTAACAGTCAACAGAACACAGTAACAGCTAGCAGATTACAGTAATTATCAGTTAGCAGAATGCAGTAACAGTTAACAGAACACAGTAACAGCAAGCAGATTACAGTAATTATCAGTTAGCAGAATGCAGTAACAGTTAACAGAACACAGTAACAGCTAGCAGATTACAGTAATTATCAGTTAGCAGAATGCAGTAACAGTTAACAGAACACAGTAACAGCAAGCAGATTACAGTAATTATCAGTTAGCAGAATGCAGTAACAGTTAACAGAACACAGTAACAGCAAGCAGATTACAGTAATTATCAGTTAGCAGAATACAGTAACAGTTAACAGAACACAGTAACAGCTAGCAGATTACAGTAATTATCAGTTAGCAGAATGCAGTAACAGTTAACAGAACACAGTAACAGCTAGCAGATTACAGTAATTATCAGTTAGCAGAATGCAGTAACAGTTAACAGAACACAGTAACAGCTAGCAGATTACAGTAATTATCAGTTAACAGAACACAGTAACAGCTAGCAGATTACAGTAATTATCAGTTAGCAGAATGCAGTAACAGTTAACAGAACACAGTAACAGCTAGCAGATTACAGTAATTATCAGTTAGCAGAATGCAGTAACAGTTAACAGAACACAGTAACAGCTAGCAGATTACCAGTAATTATCAGTTAGCAGAATGCAGTAACAGTTAACAGAACACAGTACAGCTAGC